TTCTGCTCTTGCTGGCTGTGGCAGGCTGAGGGGTGATTGGTATGGCTTTTATTCTTCGGTCAGCGGAGCTCACACTGGCTCCCTCACTGTCTGGGAAGCTAACGTGGCTCTTCAGCCTTGTGCCCTGGGTGTGGGAATCAGGTCTTTCCCCAGGGTTACTTCTGTGGACTGGGGTGCGGGGATGCTCTCCCTGCACATGTGCCTGTGCCCCCTCGGCTAGGTGGCAGGGAGGCTGGAGCGACTAATCACTTTAGGAGAATTCCCCAAACAGTGTCTGTCTATTCACTCCTTCCTCTTGAGAAATTCCTCCTGTTCAAGCCTGCCTCTCCACACAATGGCCTGGCTTCTCCCGCAGCCCAACTCTCCAGCCAGACCAGTGACTGTGGGGGTCGGGGGCCTGCTGCGCAACCCATCCTCTCCGGTGCTCCAAAGGTGCTCACAGCCCTTGTGTGTTTGCTAGCACCTGGATTCCTCCCAGTGCTGCTCAGACCTTGTTTGGCTAGGGAGGGAGCAGTTGTCCTGGCTCTCTCCCAAGGACTCTGTGGCAAACCCAGCAACAGGCCCTGGGCCTGGGGCTGCAGCCCCCGGACCACATGCTGGTCCCCGCGACCCTACCTTGTTGCAGCACTCTTCTTAGGATCCGGTTTTTCGGTTCCACCACAATCCTTGGTCCCCTGTTTTCACATATGCTGAAGTATGTTGCTTGCTTGCTTCTCTACTCCATAGATCGGTCAGGATTTTCTCCCGTGAGCAGAGGGAAGCCGAATCTGCTCCTTCCTACTCTGACGCCATCTTGGCCTGGGGATCCCACACTGTCTTGGTTACTATTGATTAATTAGATTAATGTCTTGAAATCAAGTAGTTTTAGTCTTCCAATTTTGTTCTTTTTCACAACTCTTTTGGCTATTCTAAGTCCTTTGTATTTTTATAAAAATTTTAGATTGGCTTGTCAATTTATAAAACAAAAAAATCCTGCTGGTATTTTTATTTGGATTGAGATGAATCTATACATGAATTTAGAGACAAATGACATCTTAATAATAGTATTAAGTATTCCAGTTCATGAACCTGCATATATCTCCATTTATTTCTGCCTTTGATTTTTCTTATCAATATTTTATAGCTTTCAGTGTACAGGTATTACATATTTTTTGTCAGATACATCCCTAAGTATTTCATAATTCTGGTGCTATTTTAAATCATATTTTTAATTTAACTTCAACTTTTTGTTGCTGGTACACAGAAATACAATTGATTTTTATAGAGAGAACTTGTATCCTTTAACCTTGTCAAAGTCACAGATTAGTCCTAGTAGCTTTTGGTGGACTTCACCAGATTTTCTATATAAACAATAATATTGTCTAGGAATAAAAACAATTAACTTCTTCCTTTCCAACCTGGACCTTTTTTTTTCTTGCCTCATTGAACTGGCTAGAATCTCCAACATAATGTTGAATAGAAGTGGTAAGAACAGACATTCTTATCTTTTTCTTGATCATAGGGGAAAGCATTTGTTTTTTCTTGATGAAGTATGATGTTAGCTGTTAGTTTTTTGATAGATGCCCTTTTTCAGGTTGGGCAAATTTTCTTTACATTCCTGGTTTTCTGAGAGTTTTTATCTGGAGTGGCAGTTGTGTTTTGTCAAATGCTTTTTCCCACATCTATTGAGATGATCATAAAGTTTGTCTTTTTTAAGTTGTTAATATGGTGAGTTATGTTATTGATTTTCAAATGTTAAACTATTCTTGCATTCCTAGGATAAACCCCCACTTGGTCAGGATGTATTATTTGTTTTCTACGTGGTGTTGGTTTCAATATTTTAAAATTTTCTAAAGAAGTTTTTGCATTTATGCTCATGAGGGCTATTGGCCTGTATTTTACTTTTCTTTTAATGTTTTTGCCCAGTTTTGGTATCAGAGGAATCTTGACCCCATAGAATATGTTAGGAACTATGTCATCTTCAATTTTCTGGAAGAGTTTGCATAGAATTGGTATTTTTCTTTTTATATTTGTAATATATATTTTTTTAATATTTGGTAGAATTTATCAATGTAGGTACCTGGTCCTCTAAGCTTTTTGTAGAAAGGTTTTTAACTGTTGGGTTAATTTAAAAAATACAATATAATATTATTCATGTACTTTATTTCTTTTTTGATATTTAATGTTTTCAAAGGAATTTGTCCATTTTATCTAAATAATCAAGTTTATTGGTATAAAGTTGTTTATAATGTTCCTTTTTTAGCCTTTTAATGTCTGTAGAATTTGTAATGGTTTTACTTTTCAAATTCCTGATATTATAATTTGTGTTTTCTCTCTTTCCTGATATTCTAAAATAGCCAGCTTTTAGTTTCTTAATTTTTTTTCTATTTTTCTTTATTGTTTTCTATTTCATTAATTTCTGCTCTGAGATTTATTAATTTTTCCTCCTTATTTTGTGTTTAATTTGCTCTTCTTTTTCTAGTTTCTTAGGGTAAAAGCTGAGGTCATTGATTTGAGACCTTTTTTTTTGTACGTGTGTGTGTGTATATATGTTTAGTGCTATAAATTTTTTTCTTGAGTACTGCTTTAGTAATATTCTACAAAATTGATATATTGTGCTTTTTAAATTTAGTTCAAAATATTTTAACTTTCCTATTTATTTCTTTAACTGAACTAAGTTCTTCTTTGACTGAAATGGGTTATTAAGAAGTGAGGTTCATAGTTTTCATGTATTTGAGGATTTTCCAGAGGTCTTTCTGTTACTGGTTACTGGTTCTAACATAATTCCTTTGGGATCAGATGACATACTTTGCATGACTTGAATTCTTTAAAATTTATTGAAACTTGTTTTATGGGCCAAAATATGGAATGCCTTGGTAAATATTCCATGTACACTTGCAAATAAAATATATTCAGCTTTTGTTGAGTGGAGTGTTCTATAAATGTCAATTAGGTCAAGATAGTTGACATTGTTGTTCAAATCTTCTGTATCCTAACTGATTTGTGTCTACTTGTTTTTATTAATTGTTAATAGAGGGCTATTGAAATGTTTGAATATGATTGTGGATTTGTCTCTTTCTCCTTGTGGTTCTATAAATTTTTGTTTCATCATTTTAAAACCCAGTTATTAGGGGCATAAGTATTTAGGACTGTTATGTCCTTTTGATGAATTGACTTCTTTATCATTGTGAAATGACTTTATCTTCATTAATATTCTTTGTTCTAGAATCCACTTTTCCTGATATTAACATGCAGCTTTCTCTTGACTAGTGTTAACATGGTATATATTTTTCCAGTCTTTAACTTTTAACCTATTTGTGTCTTTATGTTTAAAGTACATTTCTTGTAGGTAGCGTGTAGTTGGGTTTTCTTAGCTTAGGGAATTTTCCAGGCTCTGGTTGGGTTCCCCTTCCTGTGCCATGACCTAAAAACACCTTAGGCAATAATGGGGCTTATTTTGTTTAGTTTCCCATCTCTCAAGAACAGGGCTTGGTCTAGGGTGAGGTAAGTGTGGCCCCTACAGTGCAAAATTTTAGAAAGTAATCATGCTCACATACATATTTTTTAAAGTAGATTCCTCTTTAAATTTTGGATCCTCTTTAAATTTTTATCTCCTATTTTTTCTTTAAATATTGATTCTAAAGAGAGGAGAAGGAAGGGAAAAAGCAAGGGAGAGAAACATCAGTTGGTTGCCTCTTGCATGTGCCCTCACTGGGAATCAAACTTGGCAACCGTTCAGTTTGTGGGATGATTCCCAACCAACTGAGCCACACTGATCAGGGCTTTTACCTCACACTTAAGAAGACACTCACAGAGTTTTGCAAATACAGAGCTAGCACCTGAGAGTAAATGCCTCTTGTAACTTTTTTTGTACTTTAGGAGCCTCACTCAGCTTACTCTAGTCTCAGCTCTGTTCTTTATTGCCTGATGTCCAGTGTCTTGAAAACCATTTTTAAAAATGTATTTTGTCTGGATTTTTTATTATTTCAACTGGGAGGGTAAATACAGTCCCTATAATTCCATCTTTTCTGGAAGCAGAAGTCTGGGCTTATTCTTCATGAGATTAGAAACAAAAATCCTGGATATAGAACTACATGACTAAAATTCATGTATTTTCAGGCCTCCTTGCAAAAGAATTTAGCAAAAAATTTATCTTCATTCAGCAAACAATCAATGAGCACCTACCCTATGCCATATTCAGGGCTAAGAACTGAGGTTAAAAATTAAATAAGACAAAGTAGCTATCTACCCAAGCTCATAGCTGGCTTCTTTAGAACTCTTGGATTGGCCCTTTCATAACACGTATCACTTGCAACATGGGCCAGGGAAGGCAGAGTGCCAGAGAGAGATTCAGACCTAGAACTGAGAGATCATCTCTGCTAATTCCCATGCCCAGGCTAGTTCATGGACTCAGGTGAATCACACAGCTTGTCAGTAGTAGATGATTGCTATATAGTCTATTTTGAAGGATATGGAGGAGGGATCCAACCCAAAATACCTTCTGTTACTGCCAGTCACTATGACTAAAATTCCATCATTAGATACTTAGTCATTGAGGTTGGGGCTCCTGTTTTATTCATGTTTGCATTTCTCAGCATTAGCTTAGAGCCTGCAACGTGGAATCAATAGATATGAATGAATGAATGAATGAATGAATGAATGAATGAATGAATGAATAATGTTAAAGTGATGAGCATACCTCTGGGAGATGACTTAGGTTATTATCAGTTGAGGATGAGTAGACTGTGAAGAGCAGGCCCACAGCTGGGACCCATGATAAGAAGGCAATATAGTACAGTAAGTTCAAGAGGTCTCTAACAGTACTAGACCTTGATCTGAGTTATTTAACCTACCACAAACTGTTTTCTCATCCGTGTGACAGGAATCTTTTATTTTCTTTTCTTCCTCCCTCCCTCTCTCCTTTCCTCCCTCTCTCCCTTCCCCTCTTTCTTTCCTTCCTTCCTCCCTTCCTTCCTCCCTTCCTTCCTCCCTCCCTCCCTCCTTTCCTTCCTTCCTTCCTTCCTTGTAGGCAGCCAAAGGAAGGCAAAGGAAATTACACATGACCTTCTGCCCTGAAAAGCTGAGGCATGCCAGATTTTATCCCAAGTTGCTACTTTCCTGAAGAGGGGCAGGAATCTTAATCCTACTTACCTTATGGAAGGATGTCAGGTTTCAATAGGGTGAAGTAGGTTAGGGGCCTAGCAAGGCAAATCCCTCAAGGAATGACAGGTATTATTAGTCTACTGTCCTGAGAACAGCAGATGGGAATGAGGTAGGGCCTACGGGATGGCAGAGACCTTGCAGACAGCAGGAAGACTGTAGCTGTTCTGCTCACACTGTTTATTTACCACTATCATTATCCAAAAGTCCTCCCTACACTCAGCATTGCACATAGTTGTGCTAGGCAATGCAATTAACCACACAGACACAGCCCTGCTCTCTGGGGACTTCCACTCAAGGCAGTTCCCTCTGGAAAAGACAGAATTAAATGTTGAATCTGCTTATGATCAGGTGATGGGCTATCCACACCATGTAGGGATTAAGAAAAAGACCATTTCCTGAGTGGGAGGCTGATTAGAGGAGTCAGGGTGGGAGTTCCTTGTTCATCGAGCAGTGAGAAGGTGAGCCTGCTCCGCCTTGCCCAGACTGCTTTGAGGGGTCCTTTCCTGAGGCCAGAGGCAGTCTTCAGCTTCAAGCCCACAGCTCTTAACAAATCTTGTAGGTGGAAGGTATTGACTGAAATAATAGATGACTTTGGATTCATGGCATACCTGAGCCAGAGGCCCAGGCTCTAACAGTCAGAGAAGCCCACCTGGTGACACAGTGATTTTCTGCCTTTCTTCTGACCATGGACGTAGGAGCTGTGATTTAGGACTCCACTCTCTCCAGTTTCCCAAAAATGCATTACAGTGCACATCTATATTTTTTAGTTCAAATGTTATCATGAATTTGAAATTTGACCTAGTCTACTTCTCAAAAATCTTTAGATAGAAAAACACAATGATACTGAGACTTTCTTTTATCACGTTAACCCAATTTTTCAGACTGTCAGAGTAAAATGTGCCCTTAAAGATGCCAGGCTCAGTCTTCTCATTATACAGATAAGGAAACGGAGGGCTAGGCAGGTTGCTTGTTCAAGGTCTCTTAGTAGCAGCAGTATCTAGACTACAAGCCCAGCTTTTCATGCCTTTCTGTGACATCACATTGCAGTGCATCTTCTGAAACAGCTATTTGCGGGGCTTTAAGAACCTGATCGAGGTGTATGATTTGTGATTCTCTGTTGGCTGAAGACAGCCTTGGGTGTTGCCAAACCAGGCCTAGGAAGCTCAGTACAGCCGGAAGATCCATAGGACAGAGTGCAGTTTCTCATCCATCCATTGCAGCCCCTGCAGGTTTGTGGCAGAGGCTAAAATTTGTTGGTTGTGAGGGATACAGGAGAGAGTGCATCTGAGTGAGGGGAGCCCTCCACCCTTGGCAATGCTGAGATGTCAAGACAGTGTGGGATTAATATCAAATACAAGTTAGATGATCTTGCATTTAAAACACAAATTTGTACAAACTGCTCTGTGGCCTTGATCAAGTCACTCAACCTCTCTGAGCCTCAGTAAAATGGAGATGATAATATTTCAGAAAGATGAGAAAAATAAATGACAAAATATATGTAGAGACCTTTGCCTGATACAGTGGTCTCTATAAATGGTAGCTGGTCTATCAGAATCTGTTTTGTTGTTTGTTAAAATTGGGAGAAATTATTTTCAGGCTTGCTCTATCCACTTCCTTTCAATTGGGAAATGTCTATTCCCCCACCCCACATCTCTTCTCTTTGATGGGCTGGCCGATCTAGTAGCGATCATGGCACACATCCCCTTGTCCTGAGCATCTGCTAATTAAGAGGTGGTTGCTAAGAGATGCTGGGGCACACTGGCGAGCCGTTCTCAGGTCCCCTGTCGTTCTTTCTCAGCCTCACTTCATCCCCAGCACACCCACCTCTCTCTCATCTTCCATTCTCAGGATCTGAAAAGAACTGAGGAAACTGACAAACCTGGATGGCTACGCCTGACCAGAGAGTGGTCTCTAGACCCCAAAGACCTGCTCAGGGACTAAAGGGTAGTGGGGCCTTCCTGGGTCCCCTGGACAACCTGGAGTGTAAGGAGAGCCAGGAGCCAGTGCAGGCAGAGCTGGCCATGCTGAGGAAGGCACAGGAATTCTTCCAGACCTGCGACACAGAGGGCAAGGGCTTCATCGCCAGGAGGGATATGCAGGTAAGAGGGGCCCCAGCTGTCCACCTGGAATGCCAAATCACCTGGGTTTCACTGCCTCAGGTTAGCACTTGCCCCATTGGAGATAATGTCTTTAAGACAAGAGATGCCATCAGCTCTGCCCTAGAAGGGGGCATCAGTTCAAACTCTCCTGGTTTCCTTTTTTTCTGACCTTTACTTGCTGTCATACTCAGGGGTTCTTTCCCCTCTCTGATTCAGTAACTCCCCGGGGCTGGGAAGAGAGTGATAGCAACATAAGGTAGTTGAGTAAGGGATGGTGAAGAACCTTCTGAAACAAAGGTAGAAAGGCACTGACTTATTGCTTCACAACAAAGTTCTGAACTCTGCCAAAGTCCTTCCTGTGAGGTGCCGTGTGTGTGTCAGATGCAGGACCCAGGAGGAAGGCATTTCTGGAGCTCATCTCGTCTGTCCCTCACACTGAAACCCAGCTACATTTAACCCCATATGTAAGCGTTTCCAGAGGGAGAGATTGCAGATCCTTGGTACATGCCATCACCTAGTGTGGGGCTCAGCAAACTTTGTCTGTAAGGGCCAGAGAGTAAGTATTTCAGGCTTTATGGGCCAAGCGGTCTTTATCCTGACTACTCAGCTCCGCACCACAGCCATACCCAAAACATAAATGAATGAGACAGGCTCTGTTCCAATGAAACTTTACAGACACAAATTTGAATTTTATATAATTGTCAGGCATCACCAATTATTTTATTGAAGCACTTAAAAGTGTAAAGGCCATTCTTAGTTCACTGGTCATACAGAAATGGAGTAGGTCTAGTTTATAACCCAGGGTGTGGTCTGCTCACCCCTGGTCCAATGTCTTTCCACCTTTAGTGTCAAAAGGTTCTTCTTGGTGTCTCACTTAAGTCTCTTACACCACAGCTGTGATTTCACCTCAATGCGAGTAAATAAAATGCAGGGTCCACTAGGGCTCTGTGAAAGCACCTCTTCTCCACATCTTGTCAGCACTTGCTCTGTCAAGAGCATTTTTGGAGGGAAAGCTAGCTGTACTGTTAGGAGAAAGACCTAGGATGGCTTTTGTTTTTGAAGGTTTTCTTTTTTGAAGTGTAGGTTTTCAGAGCACACTAAGTTGGCAATGAAATGTAGACCTCATTAATATCAGTCCCACTGCTGCTCACATGTGGGACTCACAAGGCGTGGAGGCTAAGAAGGGGCCAGCCATTCTGTCCTGACCCCAGAGGGTGGTGTTTTCAGGCTTTCCCAGCACCCTTCTACCATCTAGCAGTTGCACAAATTGAGGGAAAACACCTGGGAAACCAAGCCTGCAAGTGAGCTCGGACCACCTTTGCTTTTAGTAATTGACCCCTCAATAAATTTTTGTCACTGAAACTCATTCCCTAAGTCCCACCTCACGTGGAAGGCCGGGTTTGGTGTGTTTTGTGGAAAGTGGTGACAGACTTCCCTCACAGGTCTGTGGTAGTGCTGCCTGTGGTATAGCTTCAGTGGCATCCTTTACTTTTGCTTGTCCCCTCTAGAAAGAACGAAAAGGGGATTCACATGCCCTGAGGGTCATTCTGGGCCACAAGCACAGTGCAACTCTCCGTAGAGACCCCAGTTAATCTTCACTGAAGCCCACTCCTTAACGAAGGGAGGGAGAGGCAGGGGAAACTAAGCTGCCAAGGGTGAATTGTTAAATTATTTGTATTTGACGCAGCATGGATTCAGAATCATTGAGGCCAGAGATACCAACTCAGCTACGTCCCTCCTCCGTCTTCCTCCCTCAATCCTCAACCCAGGCAGCAGGAAAGGGGATGGACATCCCACCTGGCACTTACTTCTACCAGCTCCTTAGCTGTCTGAAATTTCGGTGTAACTGTGGACAATAAAGCATGTGACATTTTTCATTTTTTCAGACTAAAGGTGCTATCAAGAGAGAATAAAACATGTCATTTAGCACCTCTCTGATGCTTTCGCTGGTCATGTCTGGAGAAAGACTGATTGGAAAGGGATGAGTGAAGAGCAGTCACCCTCACACTGTGGACCCTGGGCTGGCTGTGTAAAGTCCACGCACCCCTCGCTTCTCCTGGGCAGGACCTACAGACAGCTGCCTGCTGACTGTCACTCCCACCTGCAGCTCCTTTGCAGGGTGGTCATTGACCCTATGGTTGGTGGCCAGCTCCTGGCCACCACTACCTTTCTCACCATCAGCTCCTAGCACAGCCTCACAGGAACTGGAGGGAGAAGAGTTCACAGTGTCTATACAGAAAAGTTCAGCCACCAGGAAAGGGCCTTTAGAGCAGAGAACAGCTCTCAAGGAAAAAGCCGCCGTGGGCCATGTGAGAGGAAGAATCTAGGGGCTGGAGGAGGCCGGCAAAGAGGCAGAGTTGGAACAAAGTTACAGAGAGTTTGCTGTTCTTTTAAAACATGAATGGGAAAGTTAAGCTCCTCCCCCAGTACTCTTGTTCTCTGTTCTCCTAATTAACAAAAGTCCATGCAGAGGGTGAGATGGACTTCGCAGTCCTCTGAAAGGTAGGGAGATGGCCACAGGGGCTGAGCCCCAGCAGGAGGTGGTCCGTCTGCTCTGATGAAGCAGAGAGCACAAAAGGAAAGGAGTGGGGCCAGGAGACTCCTTTCTCCTTTGAGGTCCCTGGAGTAACTGAGGTGAGCTGCAGAGAGGACAGGGCTGTAAGCTGCCCTCTGTTTGGATCCACGTGCAGACAGCAGACCGTGACAGCAGACAGTGGCCCCTGCCCCTGACCTGTGTGAACAGAGTTTAGGCAGCAGTTTGAGAGTCCTCAACTCTGCCCATTGCCCCTCAGACTTCACTCCCTCCTTCCCAAGAAAGCTCTGTGGGTTCCAAGGGATCACTCCAGGAAGAACTGGGGTACAGATTGCTTTTCAAGGTGAGGTCTGTGCAGTCCCTAGATCAGCAGTCCCCAACCTTTTGGGCACCAGGGACTGGTTTGTGGAAGACAATTTTTCCACAGACTGGGATCGGGGGGATGGTTTCGGGATGATTCAAGCGCATTACATTCAAGCTCACCTCCTGATTAGTGGCCTGGTTCCTAACAGGCCTGGACTGGTACTGTCTCAGGGCCCAGAGGTTGGGGACCCCTGCTCTAGAGAAGCGGAGGGCTCCAGAGGGCTGAGGGTCCAGACTGAGAATCAGCCCTGCCTCACAGGGACAGAGGGACATGAAAGGGCCAGGCTGCTGGGCACAAAGGGACTCCTGCAGCTGGGGGAGGGAGATGGGGGACAGGGGGCGTTCTCTCTGAGGAAACCTACAGCCTAAAAACCCCTGTTTCCCTGATACTTTAGAGCAGTAAAATGATTACCCACCTCCTAACACTGCCTAGAGCTCTTGGCTCAGCCCGACTCTTAAGAATCATCTAGGAACTGGCAGACCAGCCAGATCTGGCCCAGCACCTGCTCTTGCAGGTGAGTTGTGTTGGAACACAGTGTGCTCACTCAGTTACATACTGGCCACAGCAGCTTTCACACTCGGATGGCAGAGTTGAGCAGTTTGTGACAAAGACTGAAGGGCCTGCAAAGCCTAATATGTGCTATTTGGTGTAAAGTTTATACCAAAAGTTAGCTGACTCCTGATTCAGGTTAACAAGAAGACTTTTAAGAGGTTTTTTTTTTCTTTGTAAATTGACCTGAGTTTTAAGTTTTAATCCTGAATCTGTAACTTACTAGCATTGTGAGTTTGTATGTCTCAACACCCTCTGGCCATAGCTTCTCCCCTGTGAATTATCATAGTACCTCCCAGCATTGGAAGAGAATGCATGAGCAGATGCAGGTAGAGCACTTAGTCCTGAGACAGGGGCCTGAAAACCCCTCCATATGCGCACTTGTGTGTTTTTGGTGCAGGGTGGGTGGGGGACTTATACACCGTATCTTAACCCGACCCTTGTGTCCTCTGCACTGTGATTTTTGAAATTGTGGTAAAATGTACATAACATAAAATTGATCATTTAAAAAAAATTAAGTGTATAGTTCAGTGGTGTTCAATATGTTCACTCTTGTGCAGCCATCACCACCATCCATCTCCAGAACCCTTTCATTGTGCAAAATAGAAACTCTGTGCCCACTGCACACTAAGTCCCCTCTGCCCCTCCCGCCGGTCCTGGCAGCCACCGTCCCGCTTTCTGTCTGTGAGTTCCAGTACTCTGGGAACCTCATGTAAGTGGGGCTACACAGTGCTTGCCCTTTTGTGACTGTGTCGTTCACTTAGCAAAATATCTTCAAGGTTCACCCACACCAGAGCATATGTCCGAATATCCTTCCTTATTGTGGCTGAATGATATTCCATTGTATGTGCACACCTCATTTTGTTTTTCTCTTCACTGGTCAGTGGACTCTTGGGTTGCTTCACATCTCTGGCTATGAATAATAGTGCTGTGAACATGGGCATATAAATATTCTTCAACTTCCTGCTTTTAATTATTTTGAGGATATACCCAGAAGTGGAATTACTGTACTATACTGTTACATAGTATAATAATTCTATGTTTAATCTTTTGTGGGGCTGCGCTACTGTTTTCCACAGTGGCTGCACCGTCAGGCTGTGGTTTTAAGTGCAAATCCTCTGTCCTCCTTCAGAGATAAACAAAGGGCTTTTCTGCTGACGAAGGCACCTTCCACTTGTATCTAGCTGTCACTCTTCTTTTTTGTGTCCAGTCTGAATGAGTGAGGGCAATTGTGCCTCTTTCAAGACATTTGGCAATAGCTACAGACATTTTTAATTGAAACAACTGGAGAGGAAGGTGCTACTGGCATCTAGTAGGTAACGTCCAGGAATGTCACTGAATATCCTAAAGTGCACATTACAGCTCCATCTTTACTCTGCTTCCAAAAAAAGAATTCTCCATCCTAAGATGTCAGTAGTGCAGAGGTTGAGAAACCCTAGTCTACACCAAGTAATCAGCTGGAACCAAGTACATTAAACCACAAAGCAGAAAAAAGGCAGATGCTGCCTCCCAGACCTCACATTCTCACTGTGAAGGTATTTGGTTCTGGAAGTTCATCCATACCACAGGCAAGAGAGTGGTTGATGCTGGGACAGAGGTCTGAACAGGATGCTGTGGAACCCTCAGAAGGAGGGAAACTTTCATTCTGGCTGTAAAGATGGAGCTCTCCTGTGTAATGAGTGTTCTCTTAGATGTGTTTAAAGCAGTGCAAACATTTGCTTTAAGGCGTGTTACTGAGCTAGTGACCAGGAAGGTAGAGGGTCTGGTAACAGTGCAGCAGAAGACAGCATTTCCTGTGGCTCTGGGAGCTGAGACCTCAGCACTGCTGCTGCGCGACTGTACCCTGGTCCACATCCCCATTTTTTAGACCTTGCCTGGGAATCTGCAGTAGTGCTGGGCAGGAGTCTAGACCAGTGCTCCAGAAACAGGACTTCAGGATCCCCTGCGATCACTCTTAGTCACTCACTTATTCAACAAATATCTAAATACTCCATGTTTGTCAGCACTGGGCTAGATCCTGAGGACACAGTAGTAAGGAAAAATAAATGGGGCTCCTGCTCTCAGCTTCCAGTCCACTGAAGGAGCAGACTTTCATCAGCAAATCACATCTATAGTATGTAAAATACAAACTGAGATGAGACTTACGAACGAGAGAAATGGCTTTGGGGAACCTGCATATCCTAACCTAGAGGACACAGGGACTTACTGAGAAAGTAAGGCTGGAGCTATGAGGGAAGAGGGGTTTAGGGTTAACCTGAAGGCAGTGGATGGAGGCCACTGTTTACAGGAGTCGCAAAGTTCTGAAGAGCTGGTGGGGCTGTGGGCCATGGGAATAGGGCAAGCTGACATCCCCCTGGGTCCCTTCTCTCCACACCTGCCCTTCCAGGTGGTGGAAAGTGAATAAGGTCTCTGCAAGGCCAGTGAGTGGTGGTGCTGGCCACATAGACTTTTGGTGGTAGGTGGGCAGGTTCAGAATGGTAAGCAGACAAGGAATTAGAGAAGGTTCCACCAGAGGACCTTTGGATATAGTGGGAGCCTGAATGCGAAATGGAGTCTTCATCCCAGAGCTGGTCTCCACTGTGACTTTAGGCAAATGTCAGAGCCTCACAGGTTTTCCCCACAATGGAATGTATCATCTTGTCCATAGACAGCACACTAGGTACCCAGGGGACAGAACCTGAATAAGCTGATTTTACATGGCTCTGCAGGCCCTGAGAATAAAGATAAATAGGAGATAATTATAGTTATTAAGACTAAAGGATTTTCAAGTAGGACCAATAAAGACAGGTTACAGAATCTGGCATGGTGCAGCTTTCAGGGAAGGCTGAAGAAGCACTCAGTACTAATTTGCCAGGATATGAAGAGTAGGAATTGCCCTGGCCAGTGGCTCAGTCAGTTAAAGTGTCATCCTGTACACTGAAAAAAAAAAAGGTTGCTGGTTTGATCCCCAGTCAGGGCATACCTAGGTTGTGGGTTCAATCCCCAGTTGGGGCATGTACAGGAGACAACCAGCTCAGTGTTTCTCTCTCAACATCAGTCTCTCTCTCTCTCTCTATCAATAAATATATCCTTGGGTGAGGATTAAAAAAAAGAGTAGGAATTACTTGGAAGATATAATATTGCTCTCCCCATATTCACTGACAACAGAAAGAGGAAACTGGGTTTGAGATGTAGTAGCAAGATTGGAATTAGATAATAGGAAGGATTTGTGGTGGGAAGTGCTGTTAGATGCAGGAAGAGTGCCTAAGGTGGGGTATGACATAGCTTTTCCTGGTCCACCCTAACAACAGAAAAGGTGCCATGCATGGGTGGTGTGGGTAAAAGCCAAGACGAGGATCCCACCAATCTCTGATGTTTCCTTCCAACCCACTTCCAGCTCCAGCACAGTGTGAGATGCCACATTTCACACCAGGTCCAGCAACCCTAGGCTGAAGGTGGGGAGGGAAGAAGGATATTTCCAAAGAAGGGACTAGAACCTGGGTGGGGCAGGAGCTGGGGTTTTCACCCCACCTCCAATGTGATGCCTTTTGTTTCAGTGGAGCTAATAAACTTCCTGCTTGCAAAATTGACTCCTCACTCCCCATTCTCTTCCTGTGGCTTTTGAGACAGCTGGTTTATGGATTGTTGGTAAGCCAGAGATTCTGTTTTATGCTAAAGCAGATGCACTTCTAGAATTTTTGCACACACCCTTACTCCCCTTAAAAAAATAATTCATGTTTAAGTCAGTTCTTCTAATGGCTTTCACATGATTCTGTCTTCCCACTTTGTAATGCATCTTAGTCTCCCTGAGTGCACATACCTGCCAAATTAAATGTTATGGCTTATCAGCTAGTGGATTGCCATGGTATCAAGCCAAGTATTCTTGCATGTTACGTTACAGGCTTTCACACCTGACAGCTTTTTGGGGGGGTGAGGTCCAGATGAGTGTGTATATCCTCCCTGCAGCCCTGTGTTCATTGTCTGCAGCTGTTAGTCATTTTTATACTTGCAGGCTGTTCTGAGCTATTGTCCTTTGGTTAACTGGGGGGTAAGGGAAGGGTCAACTGGGCTGTATCCTTGGGGAGTCTTCATTTGGAGACTTAAATTATTAGAGTATAAGAGGACAATTGCTTCAACTATGCAAATTAGCCATGGTGTGAGGCCATTGCACATCAGGCAGAAGGCCAGAGGGCAGCGCCCGCAGCTCAGCTCATCAGTTGGTCCCTGCCCTTCCATCCTGGTGTGGTCCTAAGCAGCCCAGGACTCAGGTCTGTGTTTATGACCTCCTCCCATACCATCTTATCCAGGTTCCTTTTAAAACACAAATACTCTTGGGGGACTTATACCTTCAGCTAGTGGCAGTTAACAACTTATCAGGAATTAGTTGAGAACCGTCAGGGAGCAAATTCAGGGCACAGACTGGTGTGATGGGTAGAGGTCACTCAGAGGGATGAAGGGGGCTTATCCCTTTCCCACTTGGAGCTGAAGGACCTACATATGTGTGTGTCCAGAGAACTTAAAAATTTGGGGCCCTGGGACATGAGTAGCCTCATCAGGGAAGGCTCTGAGAGTGTGACCCTTACCTGCATCTCCACAGGGGAGGTAGCATGGCAAAGGATGCGGGCTCGGGCAGAGTGGGAGAAATGGTACAAAACCTTGCTGTGCCGCCTACTCACTGAGAGGCCTTGGTGTGTCAGGATCTCTCTTTCTCTGTCAGGCACTGTGCTCTACTCTTTACATTTGTTATATTATTTAACTTGACAGCACCATGTTGTGTGGGTATTACCCTACGACAGGATTCAGTCCTGTGCAGTTTCAGGTACAGTTAGCTCATTGCGGTTGTGCAGAGTGCTGGCTTTGGAGAGGGACCTGGATTTGACTCCTGGCACTGTCATTTACTGGCTCAGCAACCTTAGGGCAGGTCATTTAGCGTCACACTTCATCTATAAAATGGCGATAGTAACTCCCACCTCCAAGGATTGTCATGACAATTCAGTGCAAATATATGTTTATAGATATAAACTATATAGAAATATATTGATAAATATGTACATATTTATAGTTATTTATAACTCACTTATCAAATTGCCTAGCACATTAGTAGGCACCCAATAATGGTCTACATTCTAATATTCAGTGGAGGAGAGTGATGGTAATGTGGTCTGCAGAAACTTGCTTCTGGCTTTTGTAGGACAGGGCTGACTCCAGACATTTATGTCAGGAGGTTCCAGGCAGCCCTCCATGATGATCAGTGTTAACCAGTGCGGTCTGGGTTGCTTTCAGAGGCTCCATAAAGAGCTGCCACTCAGCCTGGAAGAACTGGAGGATGTGTTTGATGTGCTGGATGCTGATGGCAATGGCTTTCTCACTCCAGAGGAGTTCACCACTGGGTTTAGTAAGTTCTGATGGAGGCTGGGGCTCCGTTACGTCTACCTAACTCTACATAAAGTTCACCCTTACCCCATCAGGTCTGAGGGTCCTGGTAGCACAAGCTTTCTGCCCTCCTGAAGTTTTCAGGCTCTGGATATTTTGGAGCATTTTTTTCACACATCCTCACTGGCTGCTCACACCACTGCTCTCTCACCACACTGTCACTGCCAAGTTCCCTACCACCCAGGAATGGCAAGAGGAATACAGAGAAGCTCTGGCAGAAGGACTGGCATAAAAGGGGGAGCTGAGATGAAATTTACAGCCTCTCCTTTCTGCCTTGCTCCTAGAGGACAACAAAGTGGGAAGACTGCATGACTCACTCCAGTCCAAATCTGGCTGCATCTTCCAGGTTGAGGGTGGCAGCTATCAGAGGAATTTCAAGAGGGTTTGAATAGACTGGTCATTCTCAAGGTAACCAGGAGAAAGGAAATTAGAGATCCATGAAGAAGACAAAAAAAGAACAGCTATGCCATCAAGTTAGACTGATCTGATATTTGATTAGAATAGGTATTGATCAGCTAAATCAACAGGCAAGTTTCACCACACTTCTGGCTCAGACCAGGTGCCATATAGTTTCCTGTGATGTACTGGATGCCTTTCCTGACTTCAGGAGCTTGTAGCTGACTTAGGAGGGAGAATAAGACAGATAGCTATACTTCTAGGCTATATGAGTATGGAGAAAGTACATTGGAAACTATACAGTAACTTGTGAATGTGAAGTACAGTGATGCCTGTGGAAGGGGTGACTGGATGATAGCATGGAGTGTAGACAGTCAGGTTGCTGGGATGCAATGAAGAGAAAGGTCTTGTTGTTTACAGGAGAAATCAATGAAGAGATGTATTTTAAACTAGACTTTAAAGTATTAAGAACCACCAAGTGCCAGAGAACCTGTCATGCATTCTGCTTTTCCCACGTTCTGGAATCTCTGGCAAAATCTCTTAGAGATAGAAAAGACACAAAATCCAGAACATGATATCGAAGGATCTTTGCTCTAGGGGGTTTCCTCTTTTCTCCTCTCAGATGAACCTCAAATGATTCCTGGTGACTGAGAAGGCGAAGGTCTTCCTGGGTGAGTATTGCCTGATTCAGATCCTTGTGCCATGCAACCCCCAGGTCACTTCTTCTTCAGCCAGAACAAACCAAGTCAGGAAGATGCAGGCGAACGGGTGGCCCAACTCTGGGAAGAGAAGGTGTATCAGTCCAGAGCACAAGAGGATCTGGGTGACATGGATGAAGATGAGGAAGCCCAGTTCCAGATGCTGATGGACAGACTTGGAGCCCAAAATGTTTTGGAAGAGTAAGTGCTAACAGTGCTTTGTGGGATGGGGAGCCCAGCCTAGAAGCAGCCTCTTTACCTGTTCCATCTAACCATCACATGTATTAAGCCCTGAGTTTCAGGCCCCAGGCTCTGCACTGCCAGCTATGAGATTTGCTCCATACAGCCTGTCCTCTGCAATGACCTGTCCGTGTGTCATGTCAAGGGGCTCTGTCTCCATCTCTGCTTTTCCCACTTTTTTCATGGGACTCGCTCTACCTCGCTACTCTCCCACTGTCTTCATTTCCTGTGGTTCATTATCAGCACAATCTGTGGCTCAGTGAGGAAAGCTCACTCATTAGAGAGCTGTGCCAGGACTGGAGGGTTTTTCCATGTGTTTTGCCTCAGGCTTCACCATCAGCTCACCAGCATGGCCTCCTCCATTGGAGCCAACCAGGGCCTCTGGGGCTTCAGTGCCTCTGAGTCACCCCACCATGACATGCTCCTGGAGGAGGCACCCTTTGTGGCTTTTTTCCTGCATGTTGTATCCTTGAGTCAAACCAAACCTGTCAGGAAGCCAAAGCAGGAGACTAACCAGTTTTACCAGCCCACCACTTGGATAATCAGTAGCTGAGCTGAAAATTTTAGATGGTTGGAACTTAGAACAAAATATAATACCCCTGCTCTGGCCAGGTGGCTCAGTTGGTTGGAGCATCACCCTGTGCACCAAAAAGGCTGTGCGTTTGATTCTTGGTCAGAGCACATACCTGGGTTGCAGGTTTGGTCCCCAGTTGGGGTACATGTGGGATGAGGGAGGGAGCCAGTTGATGTTTCTCTCTCACAGTCTCCTTTCCTCTCTCTCTAAAATCAATAAACATATCCTCAGGGTAAGATTATTTAAAAAGAACAAAATCATAATACTGCCCTCCCCTTTTGTTTCAAAAGTGTTTTGGAATAAAGAAACACATGAATCTGAGCCTTGATATTTAAAATGGAATGAAATGAAATTATATAAACTAAACTAAAATAAAATAAAATGATGGTATAACTAAAGGAAACCTAAAAGTGGCCTGAAAGACATGGGATACATTCTACCCGCTTTTTCTGTTGCCTTTTGCTTTTTTGTGTTTCAGTCTCTAGGTCTTGGGTTGGGTATGTGTTTCATGAGAGGTGGGAATGGCCTAATGACAGAGCTGATATGACCTGAGCTTAGGAAGAAGAGACTCTGTTGGTGGAAGATGATAAAGAGGAAGCAAGAAAGAGGGAGCCTGTAACAGCAGGTCAAAGTAAGTGTCTGTTGGTCTGTGAACTGTTTTAGCAAATGCCAGACTGTGCAAATGACTTGATAGACTCTGTCAGAGTTGAGAAAGTCTTGGAAAAGCCCGTGCCAGGCCAGGAGGGGATAGACAGAGAGCTTGAGACAGCCCTGTGGGAGGCTCTGGCCAGGAAGAGAAACAACACAGTGGCGGTGGCAGTGGCAGCAGCTCTGCTCAGGCTTAGAGGGCCTGGTGCAGGCACAGATCTGCAGAGCTGGAGTGGGGCAGGTGGGTGTGCTGGGCATGCAGGTATGTGGGAAGCTCATTAGTCACACACCTGACTCAGCTTCTCCAAGGACAAAAGACAAGAGCTCAGTCACCACTGCCAGTCACCACGTGGAGCCTCCTCCTGGAGGAGGGGAACAAGAGGGCAGGTGGGTGAGCCAAGGGACTGTAATGAAGGAGAGGTACATCTCTACCCCCATCACTTCCAGAACAGCTACTTTCCTGGCAAGGCTCTTAAGTCAGAGTTTACCAGATGTCACTCTGGGGACTTTCATCAAAGGCAGAGCTGAGTCAACATGAGACATCCTGGAAAAGAGAAGGCTCTGGGGAAGGTTTCAAGAGTGGGCTACCAAAAATGATACACAGAAGATGGTGACCAGAATTTCCATCCTCACTGAAGTTGAATAAGAAGAAATTGGGCTTAAGTTGCTGCATGAGGGTCATGACCTCATGACCTTTGGACTCCAGATAAAGAAACAGAGAGGACTTTAATACTCCACTCACCAAGATGGTTTGTGTGTTGTCCCAGAAGGGAGATGGACACATTGACCTCCCGAATCCCTTCTAGCTTCATAGCCTATATCTTTCCAGGGGGAGTACCCTGGGCATCTCCTGGATAGCTGGACTCCCAACTTTTTTTGATGATCTGATTTGCTGAGTGATTTTGCTGCTTATACATCTGGCTTTTTTTTTTAATCAAGGGTTGAAAGACTTGTCTGTGCTTCAGAAATCTGGGGGAGTTGACATGGCCATGACTAAGTGGTTTAAAGAGCTTTGGAAGAGGGTCAGGTGGGTTTGCAAATCTCAGTGGAGGCTCTGGTGCAATTGGCAGCTCTGCCAGGCTCCATTAGGAACTTGGCAGATGTGAAAAGACAGACCTAGACTAGCAAGATGGATCTTGATTTTCATAATGCATTTACTTCATGAAGGGAGCAACCTGTCACAGTAACAGGAAGCCATTATAGTATCTCCCTGAGACCTTTATCTCTGAAATTTTTGTGCCATCTCTATCATGCTTAGATAATAAAGTGGATAGCCACAACATGCTCTGTGTGGGGAAGATGGAACTCATTATGGGCAATAGGGAGGCTCCTTACCTCCCCTTTGTTTGTGTCCCAGATGCCCTCATGTCATCCAGTGCAATGCTAGTTTTTCAACAGATAATAGATACTTGTTAGTTAGGTGAGTGGATAAATGGATGGATGGATGGAAGGATGGGTGGGTAGATGGGTGGTCTAGATGAGTTTGTGGATGTTTGGATGAGATTGAACAAGGGAAGGAAGGAGGGAGGGAAGGAGGGATGATTGGATAGATGATAACTAACCAGAGTTAGGTCTGTTTCTCAGTTGGCCTCTTCTCTGGAGTAATATCTACGTCCAAGGCACATTGCTAACATGGCATTATCAAATATCACTTCTGAAGAAAGTTTCTCAAATACGGTGCTTATTATACAAGCACAAAGGGTTTTGTTCTTTATTCCAAGGGTTTCTGGCCATAGCTACCCTCAAATCAGTGGTTTTAGAATTGAATGGGGTGCAAATCAGATTGTTTTCTGGCTCAGTGGGATCATTGGCTATAGATTACTGAGTTGCTCCAGAGAGGGGAGCAGGGTCCATGGTATGTGCCCCTCCCTATTCCTCCCTGCTGGTCAGCATGATCCTAGGTGTCTCTGGCTGTGCGCACGCATGTACATATCTCTGTTTCAGGGTGGGGGTGGTTTCTGGCAGAGAAATATGGCAAAGACATAGACATTCCCTCTATATCTTTGTCTCTTTGCCTGCTTTGTCCTTCCAGATTTTGTCTTTCCATGTTTCTGCACATACCTTTCTGACCTGCCACTTCTCTTCCTTTCACCTGTCAGTCATTCCTGGTGCCACCAGGCCCTAATGATGTGCTGCCTATTCTCTTCCATTCCCCACAGTGATGGTTGCTTTCTGCCATCCATCAGATGGCACATTTTCTGCTCTCAGCTTCCTTCCCTAGGGTGACAGGCTCTCTCCTGTACTTCCACAGGATTTGTCCTTACACGCACTGGGCCCCCTTCCTCCTCTCTTTTTTCAGGCATCTGAGATGTGCCCAGCACGTGGCTGAGCATGCTCAGCACCACCAGCCCATCGAGAAAGATGGGCTAGTGGAAGCAGCCAGGCGAGGCAGACAAGATGGCCAACACAGGAACCAGACAGCCCTGTTTGCCTCCCAGCTCCATCACTTACCTCTGACTGATCTGAGACAGTTCATAGGTGAACCTCTCCTCTCCTCATCTGCTTCCTCGCTGTAAATGGGTGATGGCAGCACCTGCTTCAGAGATGGCTGTGAGATAAAATGAGATAATGTGCACACAGCAAGCACTCAATCAATCTTAGCCACTGTCATCATTATAATAACAACAATGTTTCTGGCTGTTTGTTTCACATCTGGGGACTTCTGTGTTCTCTTAAAGCCTCGTTTCCACACTCCTACATTAATGGCCCTTTTCCTCTTGCAGCGAAAGTGATGTCAAGCAACTCTGGCTGCAGCTAAAGAAGGATGAGCCTCACTTACTGTCCAACTTTGAAGATTTCCTGACCAGAATCTTCTCCCAGCTCCAAGAAGCCCATGAGGAGAAGAACGAACTGGAGTGTGCCCTGAAAAAGTGGGTACCCTCAACTGCTCTCTGTGCACCCGTGTGGAAAGCAGGAATGTGAAGGGCACTTTCTCTTACATTCTGTCACAGCAGAGTGCGGGCCAGCCCTAGAGCTGTCATAATGTATACATCTGTGGATGTGTATATGTGTGTGTGTGTACACACATGTATGTTTAAGTTCTTGCACACATTAGGCCCTGTCCACATGCTAGACACTATTCTAAATACTTTATATACACTAGCTCATTTGGATTTATTATTATCCACATTACAGGTAAGGAAATCAAGGGACTGAAAAGTTAAGTAACAAGCCCCCGAATGCACAGCTTATAAGTGGCAGAGCCACTGACTCAGAGGGAGACAGCCTGGCACCTGAGACCAGTTGGAAAAGCATTCCACCTGCCCCTGGACAGGAGGGTTCAGCATACTGGACCTACCCGCCCCCAACTCTGGGCTGGCCCTTGGTTCACTGAATCTCCCCTTTCCTAGTCACCTCTGCCATCAAGGTCTCATATCTCTCCTATTGCCCTCTTTGCCCCCAGGGTCTCTAAAGACAATTAGTGATTTCTAGGGCTCTTCATTGGCCTGAAGGAGACAGCAACAGGCCAAGTGCATACCAATACCTGAAGAGGCTGCTTAGGAATCAAATGGAAGTCAGCCAGGCACCAGTGGGCCACAGAGGCCACACCGGCCTGGTGATGCCTGTTTGACTGTGGGAAGGGAACGAGTGTGCCACTGGGGCCCTGTGCTTATCCAGAGCCATCGAATGTACAGTACAGCAGTGAGCTCCTGGGCTGTGACACATGGTGTAACTAAGGAAGATGCATAATCCTGAACATGTGGCTAAAGTGCTGGCTGGGTCTGGGTAGACCTGGGAAGCAAGCCGAGGTGGCCGCACCCCATATCTCAGCCACAATTGATCCCACCCAGAGATCTACTCATATTTCATAGGAATCCTCAGCAATTCCAACACAGACCACACACCTCTCCATGCAGATACTTCCCCATGAATCTTCCTAGAACCCAGCACAGCCTCCTGGGGTAAGCTGTCAGAGTCTGTGTGGACATAGGCTTAGTGGAAGCATGGAAGCCCCTAATTAAAAAGCTCGCCATGGGTCTTCCTGTGTAGGTCAGCTCTCTGCACATTACCCTGAGCTCCTTTGCACTGTGCCTCCCCTCCATTAACTCTAAAGGTAACTTGTTGAGGTCCACCAGGTACACACAGGTCTAGAAAACTCGACCTTTAGGACCCTGAATTATGAGAAAGTTATGACCAAGCAGTGCTGGAAGGAACATAGTTTGGCTAGAGCAGATTTAAAAGTCTTCCATGGAGAGGTCCCCAAGGCTTAGGAAAAGGAGGAGTTCAGGGTACGTTTCCATGTAGTCTATAGCTGACTAATCCACGAGTCAGACAGATCTGAGTTTGAATGTCGGCTCTGTCACTTACTAGCTCTGTGACTTAGGCCAAGTTACTTGACCTCTCTGAGTCTAAGCTTCCTTATCTGTAAAATTAGGATGATAATAGTATCCATCTCAGAATCTGAGAATTAAATGCAATAATACATGTAAGCATTTGGAATAATTCAGGCTTGTAAGTATCCTATGAATGTTAAAATAAAAATACTTACTGTTCTAAATGTTTGTCAGTCTTAGAGGATTTGCCAGGTTGAGGTGGAGAGTTTAAGCCTGAATATAATCAGAGGTGAAATGTAAGTGTTCCTTGACCCTTTTAGACAACCTGGTGTAGAACCTTGCTACTCAAAGCATTGGCATCACCTGGAAATTTCTTAGGAGTACAGAATATCAGGCCCTGTTCCAGTCCTACTGAATCTGTATTTTACCCAGATGTCCACGTGCTTCGTGTGTGGATTTGAGAAGTGGGAGGCAGGGAATCAGGAGCTCTGGGGTTGAGTCATACGTGGCTCTCCATCCAGCTAGCTCTGTGACCTTGCTCAAGTATCTGGGCTTGTCTGCACCTTGGTTTCCCCACCTGTAAAATGATGGGGCTGGATTAGTTCCTGACCCTCACGTCACCCTCACTCCCCCCTGACCATAATGTTGATCACCCTAGGAGCCACAGCAAAAGTCAGGTGGCACCCCCCAGAGAGGAGGGTGGTCTTGTTTTCTACGGAGGCACAGGTAATTACAGTTGGAATGGGCAGGCAGTGGCCTGGCCCGTGTCCTGGAATCTCATCTGCAGGACACACTGCTCTGCTGGCCCACAATACTGCAGAGAAAGACCAGTGCTCCTGGCTTGCTACAGAGCCTCTTAGCCCTTACACTCATCTTAAAGTGCCTCTGTTGGAGCTTTTGCCCTAATTTAATGATTGCTTAAAAAGTTTTGAGATGAATGTCAAGGTCAGTCTTGGCTGCATGTGCAAAAGTAGCTCAGCCAAAGGTTCCAGCCCATCGTCTATTGATATCCCTGACAGCTACACCCACCCTGGGGTCAGCTGATGAGTGCCCACTCCTGGCTGGGGAGCTCTGGTGGGACTGGGGGCTCACTGAGCTCTCTGGCCAGTCCCATTCCAGGCGTGTTTTCTGGGTGCAGAACCAGAGAACTGCAGGCTGTAGTGAGCAGCACACTGCAACAGGACAGGAGAAACCTGAGTTCTTGCCTCGGCACTGCCCGGATCAGCTGTGTGGGCTTGAGCAACTGCCTTACCCCTCTGTGCATTAGTTTCCTTATTGGTAACATGAGAAAATGGGACTGGTGTTTTCAAACTTTTTGTAATTGTGACTCACTAGAAGAAATGTACTTGACTTTGTAACTTCCATACACTTAAGTTTGTGTTTAACTGAAACCAAAATGAAATAGTGCTCACCCTTATTACATGTGACATGCTTTGATATTTTCTATTGGAGTCCTTTCATTCTCTTCTCTTCAAGGCAGAAAAAAAAAAGGTTGGTCACTTCCCACTCCTCGGTATGAGTGGACTTGATGATCTATAAGGGCTGTTAGAGCCCAGAAGTCAAACAAGAAACCAGAATCCCCAGTAGAGTATAGAACATTTAAATGGGATTCTTCACAAATGACTCAGGGTGAAGTTAAGTGATTCTGGGGCATCTTCTAGGACACAGGTGGCAAACACAAGGCCCATGGGCCGTATCCGGCCCTCCGCCTTGTTTCATCCGGCCCAGCACCTTGTTTCTACCTGGTGGCAGTGCCGAACTCCTTGCCCCTAGTTAAGGAGTAGTTACATTTTTACAGTCCTAAAATTACAGTTGGCTCTTTGAAAGCAACCGTGAGGCTGATGTGGCCCTCAGTGAAAGTGAGTTTGACACCCCTTTCCAGGAGATGAGTTCGGGGTTTTGGGGTTGTTTGTGGGAGGGCCATAGCTAGGTGTTTGTGAAGGAAGAAGAAAGAAGGTCTGGAGAATGGCCCAATTCAGGCTGGAGTTGTGGAGTCCTGAGAAGTGTCAGAGCATCTCCCAGCCTCCTCCATGGCTGCTTTTCAGTAGAGGGAATGATACTTCAGTCCCACCAGGGAAATGCATACCTGTCCCAGAGGTGGTGATGAGAGCCCCAGCCACTGGCTCTGTGTGTCCAGCTCAGGGCCAGGTGTTTCTAATAACCCACTTTTAAGTGAGCACTTATTCTGTGCCAGGCTCTGAATTAAGCAAATAGAATACAGAGTCCCTGTCACCGAGGAGTTTATGATCATACTGATGAAGCACAGCTTATATGCATAAAAATTCTGCCACAAAACCAACCAGAAAATTCCCATGCTGTTGAAACACTAGACAGTGTTGCCATTGGCAGCAGCGGCTGCTGCTTCCTCCTTTTCCAAACCACACAACTTGTTTCTTTCTCCCACTAGGCCCAGAGGAGATGGGACTGACCTCAGGGGAAATCTGGTCTCAACCAGGTGAAGCTGGACTCAGATTTCCTATCTCAGCTCCTCAGGATTACAGTTTTGCTGCAGTGAGTGAAACAGGCCCCCCCAGTTTCCTCTTCAGATTCACCTCCAGGTTCTGGGAGGAAGGAGGATGCAGCTAAGTTGAATGCTTGGCACAAGCTTTTACAGGCTGATTTCAGGAGACCCACCTTCTGGGGTACTGTCAGAAATCACCTGGGGCCCTGCTTACCTCACTGCCATGGACTTTTTCAAACCTGCACCTTGGGAATAAGAAAAGAGGCAAGTGTAGGAGCATTCAGTTTCTCAGCCCCTTTGCCAGAGGTTGAGGAAATCTCAGATTTGAGTTGAAAGCCTGGATACAATGTTTGACTCTATTGCACGTCCACTGGGAAGTAGCCATAGTCCTTTGGGATGAGGTAGGAAACAAGGTCAAATGCAGGCACCTCGGGCTAAAGCCCAGTTCCTCTGCTGAACTTCCAGAGTGAGTATGCTCCATCTGTGCCTCTGCTTCTCTCCAAGGAAATGGGGTTAGATGATCCCTGCGCCACTCTCCTCTGCGTCCACTGCAGGGACCCAGAGGACTTTGCAGCATGAGGGATGTAGTTTAGACTAAGGCAGAACTTCTGACCATCAGGATTAGGGATTTCTCTGCCATAGAAAGCGTCCTCCTCAGTACCTTTGCCTCCTCTGGAAGTAGAGTGATGCTATCTGGAGGCAGCAGATTTGGGTCTCTTTCCCCAGAGTTACTGGGGGATGCCAAGGCCCCACCCCAGGAGGGCCTAATTCATTTGGCCTAGGGTGGGACTCAAAGTCTGCACATATAAGACATTCTGAGGAATTTTGATTTTTGGCCAGAATTGGAACCTGCTGGATAATTGAACTGGTTGGGTTCCTCACCAGGATCTAGCCCCCAGGCAAGGGGTGAGGACGAACTGGCTGTGTCTGGGGGTGCTCTGAGCTTTGGGTAAAAGTCCAGTCATGGGCTGTGCTCTGCCTGCCCTGGCTCAATCTCTGCAGCTCCATAGCCTGAGAACGTCATTCAGGCTGCCTGTTCCTCATCATCGGTGGTCACTCTTGGCCTTGACAAGTTTAGCAACACTCCCATGCCCTCATTGGAATCAGTTTCTCACCTGCACAGTCTTTCCTTGTG